AGTCGAATATGGCATAGAGTGAGGTGATGGAAGTTTGAAGTGAGAAGTCAACTGCCAGTTAATAGACTTTTTTGCCGTATGATTATACGTTGCCCAGGGTGCACCATGTGGAGGTAAGTCTATCGCACACCCCACTTCAATATATATCAGTAGTGTGATATATTTGAGTGGTCGCATCTCTAATTTCTTTTACCATGCATTTTGCAAAACTCAAGAGTTGGCCAAATAAACAGGAAGAGAATTTCCAAATTAATTATGGAAAATGCTTGCGGCCCTGTTTTTGGGGGGTAGTAGGAGGGAGTATCCTGTAGCCGCTCTGACAAAGAGCTCGCTGGGTGGCCAGTCAGCCACAGATACCTGTCTTGGGAACTCTAATTTGGTAGACGTGTTGTCAGCCTACTTTCTGGATAGGGTTGATTTCCAATGCATACTTACCATTGCCTTAACATTTTGTACTAGTATTGATTGAACGCTTACTTGAGCACTTCGATTTCCTCTCTTCCTCCCTTTACTAGCACTGCTCGGGCGGACATGCAGAGGCGAAAGAGTCGCGAGAGCGAAACAGAGAATAGGGAAACCGATTCCAAAGATACTGAAGATGACTTGGTATGTGTCGCTTTATAGCAAACTACAAATCTTAATTAAAAGAATATTTATTTACTTATTTATTTATTTCAAATGGCGGGCTTTATGATACTTGTCATTAGCCCTTTAGCTGACTTTGGGCCTCACTTTGGGGAGGAATATCAAGGTGAGGAAAAGTGGAGAGGGGGAAGAGAAGAGTGATTCATAGATGTTAAAGAGACAGACAGATAGACACGAAGGCAGAGAAAAGGTAGGATAAGTACGGTGTAAGTGATCGAATAAGACCGGAATATTGAAGTACAATTTAGTATGAAGGAGGGGAGCAAATTTAGGAGAAGAATGAATCTTATTTCATTTAACTTAATGAATTTTTGATTGATTTGGTTTTCTACTTCACTCTGAGTGAGATCTCTTGTTTTCAGAATGGTTCCATATTCGTCTTGTTCAGAGCTTTTAGATCAGTTTATCAAAAGAAGTGAATTTAGCCTGCTCTACCAGCTGTCATCAGCTAGCTGACTCTAATTTCTGTGAATCCTTTTGTCCCCTATTTTGGCAGATTCGTTCAGGAAGTTTAACTTGTACTCGACTTTTTTCCTTTCTTTTAGGTCCAGTACTTCATCATTCAAATGGAGCTCTGCGCTTGTAAGACACTTAGAACAGTTCTTGATGAGTCTACTGTGAGTATTAATCAAGATCGGGCCTGGAATTACTTCCGTGAAATGACTGACGGCTTGGCATACATACACTCCAAAGGCGTTATCCATCGTGACCTTAAACCTGCCAATATTCTTCTGGATGCAAACGATCACGTGAAAATTGGCGATTTTGGTCTGGCTACTCGAATGTCTGCGAAAGCTTCTTGTGCTTGGAAGGAGTATTCAGCATTCAAAGTAATTCGTCATTTTTATGCTAATCTTATTAGGCAAATTAACACCTTTTGGATGCACTGGCCAATGAAAATGCATTTTTTTGTAATAAGATAATGTAGCATGTTGATTCCCGACTGTGTCATGATTATTTTTACATTCATCATCGATTCGCAACTTCTTCGCTCTCATCATCATTACTCTGTCGAATTTGTTTTGAGAATTTGGTGATCAACCTAATTATTTAGCCCTAAACGTGTTTATATTTCCATTAACCATCCAAAAAGCACTAAAACAACTGAGAACTCTACGCTAACGTATAGTGTCATATATCGCCGTTTTAGTTTTCGAACTGTTTGTGCTCTAAGCCACCAATCAAGTTCCCACGAGAGAATAGGCAACTCGGAACGAAAACACACAGAGTGTGTATCAATACGGAAGTTAGCATGTTGAAATATACTCGACTTTAAGTCCAATGGTGCTTGGGAGAGTAGTGGTCATTGTGACACGGTGTTCACTTCTCTCACCCTGGTGTCCCTTAATGCTTATCTGCTCATCTTGTAGCGGATTGCTTCTTTATTAAGGCCTGACTGACTCAGAAATCTCCATGGTAGATTCTCCTACATCTAGCTAGACTCCAAGAACCAGCTAAGCTATAGCCCAGCTATAAAGGAAACAGACGTGTAGCACGGAGCACGTTTATTCAGTAAGTATCTTGCGGATAATGTGTACACGCAGGGAGCTTAATCATGATCAGGATGGCGGATTAGATTAAACAAACAGAGGTTGATGATTGGTCACTGTTTGTACGGTCGCACCTCCCAATCCTGGTGTGCAGGCATGCGATGACGTGTCCCACAGCTCATTGCATTTTTTCAATTTTAGGATGAAACAGAGACCGCAAGACCATCATTTTTAAAAGAAATCTGCCATGGC